ATCTCTCGACATAAAATGGTGCTGCTGAGAATAAGAGCCTAAATACGGCATGAGAGACTTGTCAAGAATACTTCTCATTCAAGCACTTCGTATGGCTAGTTCGCTTGATTTAGTTCTATTCGAATGGCAACAGCAGACACACCTGCATCGTAAGCGGGAACGTCAGCGAACTCCAGATATCAAATCCTTAAACTTGGCATAATGACAATTATATTTATCTAACCTGGATATCATGTCTCATGGCGCATCCTCAGAAGCAAAAGTTTCCTAAATATCCCGATATTGTATACTTTCTCAAGGTTAGACAAGGCGATTTGATAACTACAAGAACCGGCCAGCCGAGGAGAGATAGAAAGAAAGAAAGCAGGAAAGAATAAAAGATATAGTCACAGGAGAGGCAGGTCACATCATTCGGACTCGGAAACCGTCGGAGGCTTTTAAAGCAAGTAACACTTGTTCACCCTGGGTGAATCGCCCAGGTGTTCATCTCGATCAAGAAAATAACCACTAGCTTCACGTCTTACTTTCAAACCGAAGTAAGTGCGACCCAAAAACTACATAACTATATGCGCAGGCTAAAATTTGCTGCTTTACATCTAGTCTCTGCACAATTGCCCGGGCCAAAGCGATTCTCTCTAATGATACATTTATGGCAACGAATGGTTTATCCAATATCCCAGAATGTGTGACAACTATGTGAGAGGGTTTGCAGCGCTGTAAGCGTTTCAGTTGTTTCATTGGTGAGTGGATAGCTCGCAGCTTTCTATTCCAGGTGTTGATACTTGGATGGCTCAGTTTGTGGAAACATTTATGGTGAAGAAATGCGTAATGCCAAGAAATATCCTACAAAACTGGCTGGTAGAGGCCAAAGAAAGAACTGGTTGCATATATACTCAGAAAATCGGGAGCTAACTATAATGGCTCTGCTTGATTTTGCGAAATTGGGCCTGGGTTCCTCTGTAGATAGGTGGTGTTCTGTCTCACGAGACGAGAACGGGTTTTAAATATTTCTTTTCGGAGGCATTCTGCGACATTTCTCTTTCTTACGAACAGGGATCTGTCCCAGTGGCGAATAACCCGTTGACGGCCGTCTTACTCAATTTCACTTTGCGGTGGCAATCTTGGCATGGCAGGGGAAACCTTACTCAGCGCTATGTCTCGTCATTTTAATGCCGGCAGTATCTAGGCCTCGGCTTGTTAGGCTGTCAAATGATACAGTTCTCAGTGGTGTCATTGCAGAGTGTAACTGTTCATCGCCTGCATATGGATAGAACAGAAAATAAGCGCAGACTTTTCGGTGAAGTTTCTTCCCAAGCTCATCGCCATACTTCTGAACGCTCTCTATAGGCCGTATTAGAAGTAAAATAGACATGAATGTCGCCTCCCTAATGCTAACTTGCGACGTAGCTATAGCGATGGAAACATCCCTTCATGCTCGACAACCCATGATCCATCTTTCGGAAACCCGGGTGCATGTCCTTCTGACCCTGTCCAACCAGCTGCCATGTAGCCTATGGCCAGAAGAAAACCACCATTCCCAGGAAAATAAGGTGGTGGAGAAGGATCTGGGGTATTGGTTAGCCAGGGTTAAAAACTGAAAAGAGAGTAGGGGCAAAGGGGTTTCTCTCACTTGGCCCGGAGCGATGTGCGAAGCCTTGGTCACCAAATTTCCAGTAATCGAAATTTGTGAGATGATAGATAGCCCGTTCCGGATTACCTATCCGTGCCGAATTGATCGCTAAGATATTACGCCCCCAGCCTCGGATGGTAGCATCTCCCCATATGTCCCACACTTTGTCGGCTGTTCTTCGCCCGACTTCCGAGTCGACCTATATGAGGTTACGAAGTTAAGAGGTATGCCTGTAGCACTTGGGGAACTGTGAAAGGGAAGTTTCTTACCACTGGAGTATCTGGGAGGATGCCCTGGAGCATAATCACACTGCGAGGATCCTTGTTCAAAGCCGGATCTTCCCACCACGACGAATTCAAGCCACCGCCAACCCAGGGAGCGTACAGGCCGTCGAACTGAGGCGGATGTGACAGATTCTCAGCCACGGTGGTCCACTGGTCAGGGCAATCTCTCCCTAGTTTCTTAGTCCACTCGCACGCTGCATCCAAAGCCCACCGCCAATACGCAAGTTCGTAGGCCAAATTTGATATTTCCGTTGGAGCAGAGTTCTCCGTCACCCCCTGGATTGGGGGCCCAATGTCGTATTTCCCCGTTGCATTATTGAACCATGCAAACGAAGCCATGTAATCGGCTGTCGCCGTCAAGACACGATCCCATTTCTTCAGCGTGGTCTCGGAAGGGTCGGCTCTGTGAGCCAGGTGGGCTAGATATACCGGGTGCGGCTGTTGCCATTGAAGAAAAGCCCGGGTCTCGCCCGGTCCTATACCCATCTCAACAAGCTCCGTCATTTTCGGCCATCTGACAGAGGGAAATTGAATATCAGACATGGTTCAGTTTTGAGGATAGTGCTGAGTCGCGTGCGTTGCTTACCTGGCGCCAGCCCATCCCATTCGCTTAGCTCTGTCCTCAGAGCTGGGTAGCAAGCTCTCGTAAACCGCGGGGAAGATGTTATCAAAATACTTTTGCCGCCCCCAAGTTACCCAATGCGCGCAATGCCAGACAACCATTTCCAGGTGAAATTTCCCCCACCAACCATTGAACACCAGCCCACTCTCCTGGGGAGGTTGCCCGGTGGCGGCACTATTTACCCTCATGGCATATTGAGAAAGAATGATGCGACGCTGAAGCTCGGTTGCATTGGGGTTGCTCGATTTTGTGAGATCGACAAATCCGCCTTCTTGCCAGTATTGCTGCCAGCCCTGACTGTTTCGTAGGCGAATATCATTCGGTTGGGCGGGAGTGTTTATTTTGGGACTGTACTGGGCTGTGAAGCTCATGACCTTGTTGTCACCGGCCGATGGCGACAGGGTGAAACGATGGGCCGATACTTTGTCTGACCCCTTGGGCTCGTTTCGAACAAGAGAAAGCGGAACTTCTGCTGGCCAGCGCAAATTTAAAAAATAGCTAGTCTCATCTAACTGATGCCGGATATGAGCAGCGTCCTTTTCGCTTCGGCAATTTATTAAGCTGGTGGTGTGGTTTTGAGGAAACTCATATGAGCCCATGAAAACCTCATGGTCAAAAGTCCCCGTAACTTTGTGGATTGGCGGATATGGGAAATCAAATTCAACCTGTAATTCTCCTGTACTGATCAAATCAGACTCAATCTTGAGAACAACAGAATCTGAGTCAAAGTCTCCTTGGGTAGTAACATTGACTCCTTGACCGTCGATTGAAAACGTTGATGTGATAACCCCATTCCATAGATCAAGATGTTGATATGGGTCATCGATGGTCGATAAGGTTTGATTTTTATATTTCAGGCTCATCCGTCCTAGATTAATCCGATTGGGGTTGGCACTGAGCCAGTTGGATATTTCCGGGTGGTCTGGATCCGCCAGGTCGTACACGATCTCTCTACCATGCGTAATGACCGGGACACCTGCATAGTCTTCAGGGCGCTCGCTGTTTTAACACCTGTCGGTAAACAAAGATCAAACGAAGGAGTCCAAGAGAGATTCCTACCCGTTGTCAGGGAGCCTATCCTTATGCCAAGCCCAGCTGGATAACACATTGAATGGTACAAGTGTCTGCATGCCAGTATTGTCGACATTGAAGGCGAAATCTCCATTTCCCACCTGGAGCGGAGTTGTCTCGTTGGTAATTGTCTCCGGAACCTGGGTTCTAATGACATTAAACAACTCCACGATAGCTCGCCTTATTTGCATTTAGCTCCGTCATAACAAAATGAGAAAGGGGGGTTTCTAGATTTACATACCGATCAATTGCGGCGCTCGCCAAGATGGGAGCGAAAAGTATCACCGTCCAGACGTGCATCTTTATCGGTAATGTACATATGGTATTGAGTCTATGATAATTGTCCATCGACAGTGAAGGGGTTCGTTGTATACTCTATTCTTGATATACACGATGCTGGATATTATACATCTCGCTCTGGCAGCTGTCGGGGTAATGACTACCGAGGTCGGGGTTTTTATTTTCCAGATCTCTGGAACTTTGGAGGCATTACGGAGATAATCACAGCAACTGGGTACGGATGAATTGGTTAAACATCCAGCCTTCCAAGGCGGTGTGCCTTAAACCCGGGGATGGAAGGAGTTCGTGATGTATCCAGGTTGGCACTCTTCATTTATGAGTGCTGCGGGGCATTTATCGGAGATATATTGTCGGGTCTGCCCGAGTACTACATAAGTTACTACTACATGGAATTCCATTATTAACATAGAATAATTTATTAGATTCTATATTCAGAATGCGCCTCTGAGACGAAAACTGGCCTTGTTTTCTTCGCCCCCCTCTGACTTATCTGCTGCCCTGGCTTTATCTATTATGTCTGAGATAGAGGGAAGCATATTTAGAAGCTTGGGGTGGGTTTTTAAAGGCGCTTTTTGGCTCGCAACTTGTAGGAATGAACTCTTTAATAAACAGTTGTCAATCAACAACAACCTATGTACAATTATGGGTGTTCCAAAGTAAAACCCAGCGTCTCCAGGTAAAATGGAACGAACGCCTTGCGTTTAAAGCTACCAAGAAACTGTTTATCAATTTCTCAGAATTTTGCGATCAAATGTTTTCTCAAACTTGGGCATCGGGTCTTATCGCGAGGTAGCAAAATTAGACATACATGGGGTATGTAGATTCGCTGTTTTCGCATATTTTATCGCCGCTGCAGGAAAATGGTACAGGGGGGGAAATAGACGCGTACAGCAGATACGTCAGTTTGACCATATGAGTGGCTGAGTAGCTGCGTCTGTGAGACTAAGGCCGTCCACATGATGCGATGCGCTGTCAGCAAATCACTCGGAATAATGCTGCTCGTGCGTCCTTCCCCTCATTCATTCTAGCTTCTACCTGCTCACATAGAGTCCCTTTCTAGGGTAAAAGAGCCTTCCGGGGCACAGACTATACCATGGAAAATCCCCTGTCCAAGGTGGAGGGTCCACTGAGGCTTCGCAACACAGATTACAATGTGGCTTGGATCTGTGCCCTTCCCATCGAGATGGCTGCCGCTCGGGGCATGCTGGACAAGATCCATGCCGATTTGCCCATAGACCCTCAAGACAGCAATGCCTACACCGTGGGTAGCATCGGACTTCATAACGTCGTGATTGCCTGCTTGGGGGAATATGGGACCAACAATGCAGCTCATGTGGCAGCGAACATGAGTAGAAGTTTCCCGTTGATCAAAGTCCGGCTTATGGTAGGTATTGGAGGAGGTGCGCCTTCAGACGAATTCGATATACGGCTTGGAGATATTGTCGTTGGTCGCAGAATCATGCAATATGATTTAGGAAAGATTACTCGCAGCGGCGAGTTTGAGCGGACAATCGTTTTGAGCAATCTACGCCCGGAACTCTCCTCAACTATCTCCAAGCTACGGGCAATTCATGAGTCTAATCCCACCTCAGTTCCCTCCCTTGTGCAGGAAATGGTTCAAAGGAATCCGGGCATGGCTAGGTACTCTTATCCTCAAGACTCATCGGACATGCTTTTCTCTGCAGAATATAGCCACTACTCGAAGTCGACTTCCTGCGACCAGTGTGATAAATCGCAGCTTATAAAGCGATGTGAACGATTGAGCACGACTCCTGAGATACATTATGGAGGTATTGCCTCAGCAAACCAGGTTATTAAGCATGGAGTAAGCAGAGACCGGATCGCACAGGAACTCAACATCATCTGCTTCGAGATGGAAGCCGCCGGATTAATGGATCACTTCCCATGCCTAGTCATACGAGGCATCTGTGACTATTGCGATTCGCATAAGAACAAGACCTGGCAGAAATACGCGGCAGCTAATGCGGCAGCGTATGCAAAGGAGATTCTCAACATGATGGCGATGACTGCCCCGAGACCGTCCGCGAGCCACCAAATAGACGCCTCTAAGATGTTGATTAAACGTGAATTACCTTTGAAGACCCTTTAGAACTAGGATCAATGCTGATTTTGTGGCAGTTGCGGCAGTGGAAAAGGCCAAACACCGGCGTGACTTAATGGGCTCGTTACAATTCCACGAAATGTACTGGCGCCAGTCCAACATCAAATCCGCCCATCCAGTAACCTGCGAGTGGCTGCCTGAGCATGAATTGTACTTGACTTGGGCTGACGCTGGGAGGCTTGGTGATCATCACGGCTTCCTGTGGATTAGCGGAAAGCCCGGAAGCGGCAAATCTACCATGATAAAGTTCCTGTCTTCTCAAGAAAAGAAAATCGCCGAGATTAATACATGTGTGATCTCTTTCTTTTTCAACGCACGTGGCGAGGATGTGGAGAAATCCACAACTGGCATGTACAGATCCATCCTCTTCCAACTTCTGGAGAGGTTTCAAGATGTTCAGTCAATCCTTGACGACTCAAGTCTGGTTCCGCTTGGCCAAAAGGGCTGCCCCTCTCTCGACGTCCTCCAAGAGCTCTTTAGGAATGCGATGCCTCTTCTTGGGCAACGCTCGGTGATTTGCTATATAGACGCTCTTGATGAATGCGACGAAGACCAAGCCCGAGACATGGTAGAGCATTTTGAAGACCTCTGCCAGCAAGCCGTGGAACATGGCCATAGATTCAGGATATGCTTCTCCAGTCGCCATTATCCCTATATTCACATTAGAAACGGCATTAGAATAACACTGGAAGACCAAGCTGGCCACAGAAAGGACTTGGATGCCTACATACGCAGTCGTTTACAGACAGGCAGAAATCCAGAGGCTCAAGACATTCATGATAAAGTCCTTCACAAGGCGGCTGGGGTTTTTATGTGGGTTGTCCTGGTCGTCGAGATTCTCAACAAAGAGTTCCAACGAGGTCGCTTGTTCGCCGTGCGAAGGAAGCTGGAAACCATTCCTGACAAGCTTGGCAATATATTCAGGGACATATATCTCCGTACTGGCATGGACCGTCAGGAGCTTATACTGTGCTTACAGTGGATTCTGTTTGCAAAAAGACCCCTGACACCAATCGAACTGTACTATGGTATCCTCTTCGGGCTATCGGATTTGGAACATTCCGAGATTCTGACCTCATCAATTGATTGCCTCTCCGTGGAAAAATTTATTCTCAGCTCTTCCAAGGGACTGGCAGAGGTAACTAAAGGACCCGAGCCAAGGGTTCAATTTATCCATGAAACGGTACGCGACTTTCTCATAAAAGGGGGTGGTCTTGGTGAGCTATTAAGTCTTGAAAAAGCCTATATAGTCGCCTACAGTCATGAGAAACTCAAACAATGTTGCGATGCCTACCTCAATTCCGCCCTCTCATCACCTCTTTCGGACGGCATGTCGCTACGGTCAACCTGTCACTCAGTACCCCTTTCTTGGCACGCTCGTAGAATAGAGATATCATCCAAATTTCCGTTAACGGAATATGCGTGTCTTGGGATACTATACCATACAAATTTTGCTGCCGTTGGAGTCTCTCAGGATCGATTTGTCGAAGATTTCAAACTTGTTGACTGGATTGCTCTCAGCAATGTGTACAGAAAATACGAAGCTAGGCATCCGCAAAATTTAAGCTTCGGGCGTGCTTTGAACAAGGAGGGCTACGTTCATCTGAGCAAGATTATACATGAATCGACAGTGAAACTCGCCAGCGTGCTGCATGATGCAGTACTAAGGGCTGATCACAACTATGCCCGAGCAATACTGGGCTTAGAAGGTTGCAAGTCTACCGAAGATGACTCAACAAGCAGCTTACAGTGGCGTCTTTCATCTCCCCCTGAACATGCGGGCACCTTCGGCAACCGTTCCATGATCATCCATGCTGCAGAGCACGGCTTCATCAGCGTGATCAACTCCTTAATTGACGATATTTTACCGATAGGCAATAGGGTTTTAGCAACGGTATCCAAGGCCCCACCGCACGCCGCGAAGAGTCAGTTCGATATACCTAATAGACTGGCTGCCCTAGCGGTATTTGATGAGCCGAATTCCTCTCTATGTTTGAAGAATCTCCTATCTCAAATAGCGAGACAAGGATTTACGGACATTTCAGTTTTGCTGTGGGCAAGCGGCATGAGAATAAAAGACCAAGACTTGATCGAATTATTATTTCTCGCTCTTTCGAATAATCACATCTCGATGGCCAAAGTCCTTACCAGTGCCATGTCCCCCGCTGGACATGACCCAATAGAGCTGCGACAGAAGATGACAGCCTATATCGGTACACTGCCGACGTTAGAAAACTGCCCCCTTAGTGGCTTGCCGAGTTTATATAATGCTAGAGATTTATGCTTGATCCATGGTATTCCATCAGGTACGGAGGACACTGATGACTACCCATTTCTTAGTGAGGACATAGGCAGCGACGCATTCAATAATGGTAACATCGATCTTCAGATCCATCCTACTCTGGCCTTTGCTGCCGCAGAATTGGGAGATGACGTTATGTTGAATTTTCTCATCAAAGAAGGAACCGTGATGTTGCAACGTCCAGATGGCCAGAATGTTCTATCGTGCGCTGCAAGAAATCTACACGAAAGCACTGTAGAACTCCTTGTCGAAGCAGGAGCCGATGCACGCTGGCAAGACGAATATGGCTGTACACCTATTGTAAGGGCTCTCGCCGCATGGCGTGCCCGAGAGCAGGGATTCTTCACGCCACGGCACGCCCATATCGCGGAGACGGCATATCAGGATATGGCAGGGACGCCATATTGGCACATTGCGCAGACAGCATATTGGTATATTGCGGAGAGAGAATACTGGAAGAGGAAGCTGAAGGCCATAATAGGCTTACTACTTGCTCGCAGCTCCAACTCCCAAGCCCGCATCGAGGCCGGCATACAAGTGATCTTACTGTGGGCAATCGACAAGAATCTTCCGAACTTGGCCTTGGCCTTGGGCACTGTTGTTGGCAGCCATGGTTCTCCATTGCCGAAACGTGTCATCTGGTGGTTGCCCGACCAATATTATGAAGAGGGACCAACGAACTTTGAAGTATAAGTTGGGGCCCAGGCATAATAAGTCCGCAGGAAAATTGCCATTAGTTTAAAACCTGCCAGTCGGTGAGGAGACGAGCTCCTCTCCAGTAATGGTAGACATTTCTGTATTGTGCTATTGCCGATCCTCGGTTCGTAAACCCACCCCTTTCGTCTTTGCTTTATTTTCTCACTGAGTCAGCTGGGAAAGCAAGGCTGTGCATTCACAATTCCTATGTACACACTTATGATACTTCTAGCACGTGGAATGATGTTTTTGAGTCTTAGCTAGGATAAGCGAATTTTCTCGCTGATGGATACATGGTTCATGGGTTGGAGGCTGTGAAAGCACGGACACACCGGCAGACAGCCGTGCTCCAAAAGATCATTTTATCTCCCGATTTCTATAGATAACTCACGCGTGCTCGCTGTTGCCGTGCTCTAGTAGGAGTACTCGGCAGATTCGAATCACCTACATTTCCATCAAGCAACAGGAATACCTCCGTTCTTTTGTGATGGACGACGACACGGCTCCCAGAGCCCTTGACCGAGAGAAATTAGGATGACAACGGTACATGAACCAAGCTGATTCAGCAGCCTCGTCATCATCGTTGGGTTATTTCTAAATTTACCTGGATTAATTTTTACCCCAGATTCAAACACGCAGTTGTCTTGCCCAACGCCTTGCTATTTCCCCACCCGTAGATGGTTTGTTGGGCGTACTCCGTACAGTATGTGCTATCCGTCTAATGAGGGGCTTCGGGCTCTGGGTGGGAGACGGAAATGATAAACGATTGATCTTACCGGATGTGCGCTTTCTTAAGCACCAGGGGTAAGCAGGAACAGGAATGCTGATTAGGTAAAGCGCACGAGTGTGGCAGGGGCAAGAAAAGCCTGAGGGATGCGAACCCCGGCAGTTCGTGTTTGGGTTTATTTAATTGCGTCCGGCTGCATCCTTGGCACCATCTGACAGATAACTCCGCTCCTGTAGGTACGGCACCGAGAGGATTGGTGACCGAGAGGAGTGAGTGGTGAACTGAATGGGTCCCTGCAGTGCAATCCCGGCGCTTGTAAGCATTGCTGATTCTCTTCGATGCTAGGCAAGCTAGGCTAGGGGCCATGACTCGGGATACAAGGGAGTCGGTGAACGCATGAATAGGTTAATAACTGTGTACGGAAATATCGTGCTTTGAACATGTCCGGCATTCGGTGCTCGCTGGTGACGACTGGCATGGACTGCCCTGACGGAGGATCCCGCGCCTTAGATTAAATGTGGTGCGCATTTCCAGAGTAATACCGGCTCAGGGACGAGCCTTGTCAGCTACCCTTCGGCATTTGGTCCGCGTGGATTTGCGCCTATAACGGACAAGCTCACCCAGAGGGTAGTATTTGCTTACTCCTCCACGTGTCTGGGCTCCTAAGCGTGGTAAATTCAAGTGTACTTTTGAGCGGTGCGTCTCGCCTAGTCCCTGAATCTCCACCGGTGAGACGGAGCTTCGTCAGGGAAGGTCATTTTTCAACAGGATGGGCTGTTGAGCCATGCCACAGCTCTTCTCTGTTCAGGCGGCATACTCACCTCTTTTCCGATTTGTTGATTTCTACTTAACTTGATAAAGGATAGGAAACATTGGCCCCAGATTCTCACGGCTCTCGCTGTGGCCGCAAGTAAGAACTGCCACTCCTCCTCCATGTCCGTATTGTTTCAGGTGGATTCCATTTGACGTTGTGTCACGCTCCACTTCCTCGACAGCCGGGTTGAGGCTAGAATCGTTCTGGGATTGGCTTTCGGTGATCCCAGTCGAGAGCAAGGTAATTCATCCTCTGGGTATGGGTTGTCGCCCTCTCCTCTTCTAGAGCCACTCTCCTTCCTGCCTCTCTCTAGCCACTTTCTTGGTCACCTTATGTTTCTTGACCGTTGAGAAACTTCATTCCTTTACCTCAAGGTCGCGTTGCTTTCTTCCGTTGTGGCATAGACTGGGCAAGCGTGCGTTTGGTCGCGATGCGCACTCTCTTTCTCTTAGGCCTCATGGCCAGTGTGGCGCCTGGGTTGGCCGAGCAAACCACAGTGACGGTCTTCGCATCCTCGACGAACAAGAACAATCCGTCGGTATCTGCAGCATCCTCGGTTGACTCAAAGGCCTCGGCCTCGACAACAGCGCCAAGTGTGATTATGGTGACCGTGGCCATCGAAGCTCTCACGACGGCTTTTGTTCCGCCACCGACATGTACCGAGAATCGACTCACTATGCTCGCCTCCCCGGGATATGAGATATGGAATAACGAACCAGCGCCCATATCCGGTAGCAAAGTGACGGACTGCTACCCTTCTCAGTTTATCAAGCGATATACCAGCTCGTTCAACCAGTCCAGCTCCATGGCGCCATTAATGAGCCCGTTGGTATGTCCCGAGGGCTGGGTTACAGCCAGGCAATGGGACAACGCCTACATTGTCTGCTGTGCAAGTGGTTACCAGCTGGCTCCCCCCTCTACGACAGTTGACGCGGATCGGCCAGGCTATGGAGGAACTTGCTACAGCAACTTTCTGGTGGGGCAGACGGCGACTGTTACTGGTTACAATTCATCGATGCTTACGGCGACATTCCCATGGGTTGCTTCGTCCTCGGCTGACCAAGCTTATGCCCACCCGATTGATGGTTTTGCCATGGATTTACTAGCCTCCTTGGTATGGAAATGCCACCTACACGTCCTGCGTATTCAGATCATAGACTAACCAAATATCTATGCAGACATCTTCCTCGGAATCAGCAACTTCGACATCGGCCTCGGCATCGTCGTCGTCGACGTTAGCAATAGCCGTAAGTATTTAGTTGGACGCGTTTACATCCGCATTGGCATACACGAAAAAGTCGTTTGCTAACTCAATCTGTGCACAGACGGCTACAAACGATAGCAGCGAAGATTCATCGACAGCATCATCAAGCTCGATTTCCGGCGGCGCGATTGCCGGTATTGTCATCGGCTGCCTCGCAGGCTTGGCTCTCATTATTCTAGCCGTCTTCCTCCTCATCCGCCGTCGCCGTGGGGGACAATATCCACCTGATACACAGATTGGAGAGCTCGGGGGTGAGCCCGTCATGGTCTATGAACACAAGCCGATGCCACCCGCCAAGGACTCGCCCAAGAGCCCTTCTGGCTTTGCCTATGCGCAACCCAAGTCGAACCCATCAGCCTCGCCCGTACAGTCGCACTCGAACGTGGAGCTCGACGACGCGAGCACGATAAACCCCACCGTCGCGAGCTCCGTCGTGAGCCCCGTCAGCCGGAACCAGTCGAAGCGGAGAGACATGAATGATATAGAGCTCGAAGCGGCGAGGGCGAGACCATATGCCGAGCTTGATGCGGGGTGGAAGGGCCATGAGATGAGCTGAGTGTTTTAGTAGTATTCTTTTTTTACCTCTTCCTTACTTCTTCTACGTGAGCTGGCGACACTGTTTCTCATTTGTTTTTCAACCATTTGGCTTCTGGCAGCTTGCTTGTATATAGTTTTACAATATCCTGTTAATCAAAAAGAATCCTGGTAGGATAATACGAGTCTGAGATTGAAGAGATTATTGTACGCAAACGTGATGCCCTTGAAACGAACATGAAGCCTTTCATTATTTCTCGCTGCTGAAGAGTTAGCGGTAGGACGGACCAGGCGAGAGAGGACATTAGATCGGAGCGTATATTTGAGGGTACGTGTACTATCGCGATCGGAACGGAAGCTTGGCTGAAGGTGCATGACGTCTGCTTCAGCTGGCAGTCTAGGCAGCATTGATCGTCATCAGCCCGCGGAATGTATCGCGTCTTCCGCCGATGTCATGTTCGCCTAGCACGCTTGGGGCGCTTCCGCGTGCTTCCACGACCTCGACTCGTGCTGCTGCAGCGTGGTGACCTCCATTAATTAATTGTCCGTACGATTAAAGTCGCCGGCAACCTGGATCACTGCTCACCCTGCTCTAATCGGGGACAAATGGCTTGGGAAATAGCAGTGAGGCTAAAAAGAAATAAAATAGCTCTCAGCCTCAGCCAATCTGACCTACCCTAAACCCAACTTCAACCTCTTCTCTTTCAATTACCAGCAGTACATATAGCCAATAGCCTTATCATTTTCGAGAGGGAAGGAGTTTAATGATTATACCGTCTAAAAATTATAAATTAAAGACTTATATTGCGCATAGCAAAGAACTATTTGCCCCGATGTCCTCGGACAACAATACGTCAACCCCGGTGAATCGGGAATTAGCGAATAACATCACGGGATTTAGCTTCCTAGCATATTTCCAGACCGTTGTCGGAGGAGATTTACTCATCGTCAATCCATTTCGTAGGGTTAAGCACCGAGAATGTCTGTCCTTGATGAGACCAATGACTATGAATCTCACAAGTTTTTCTCTCAAGACTAGGTCAGAGCGACAATACATAAGATAAAAGCCACACTGAACCCATTGTCTCAAAATGCTGCAGCTTCTTCACTCGGCGGCCGACGCCATCGGGTGCACGCCACTCGTGCGTCTTGACCGCATCACCTCCTCCCTGGGCCTCGAGGGAGCCATCCTGGCCAAGCTCGACTACCTCAACCCGGGAGGCTCGAAAAAGGACCGCGTCGCGCTCGGCATCATCGAGGAAGCTGAGAAGACGGGCACGCTCAGGCCCGGCCAGCCCGTCGTCGAGCTCACCAGCGGCAACACCGGCACCGGGCTCTCCATCGTGTGCGCCATCAAGGGCCACCCCTTCGTCGCCGTCATGTCCCGGGGCAACTCGGTCGAGCGCGCCCGCATGATGTCGGCCCTGGGCGCCGAGGTCGTCCTCGTCGACCAGATACCCGGCTCCATCCCCGGCCAGGTCTCCGGCGCGGACCTGGCGCTCGTCGAGCAAAAGGCCAGGGAGATCGAGGCGGAGCGCGGGGCGTTTCGCGCCGACCAGTTCACGCGTGACGGCAACTGGATGGCGCACCACGACGGCACGGGCGCCGAGCTGTGGGAGCAGACGGGCGGCCGTCTCGACGGCTTTGTCGACTTCGTCGGGTCCGGGGGTACGTATGCTGGCGTGACCAAGAAGCTCAAGGCCGAAAATCCCGCAGCCAAGTGCTTCATCGTTGAGCCCGAAGGCGCCGCCGTCTTGGCCCAGCAGGGTGTGACGCGGCCCGAGCATCCCATCCAGGGCGGCGGCTACATGATGCCGGACCTCGTGTACCTCAAGGACGTGCCCGTCGACGGCTACCTGCAAGTGACTGGTGACCAGGCCAGGCAGGGGGCCCGTCTCTTGGCGAGTAAGGAGGGCATATTTGGAGGGTTCTCTAGTGGCGCGAATGTCAGCGCGGCGATTGAGTTGCTCAAGGGCGAGATGAAGGGGAAAACGATTGCCATCATGATTTGTGATTCGGGTCTAAAGTACCTGTCGACGGATCTCTGGGCGGAAGCTTGAAGAGAAATATACAATCACTTAAAAAGAACTGCTCTACTCATGTGCCACATTGCAAGAATATTCAAGACACTCAAATGCCATAGCTCTACGGCTCTGTCTAATGTAAAATCAGACTCATTTAAGATAACGAGCCAAGCTCTTTTTAACTCTCCAAAATTTGTCACAACTCAAGCCTTGCTGTATCGCAAGCCGTGACCAAATTTGAACAAAGGGTCTACAGTATCAAAAGGCACATCCTCCTTTTGTGCTTCAACCGCCTTGTCAGAGCGAGGTAGGTCAAATGGGAGCTTCCCAAGAGGTTCAGCCTCACCCAGCACTATATCTAAGAATGCGTCGCCGCTGGCTCCAAAGGTTCCAAACACAGCTGCGGCCTGCTCGACAACTTCCGGTATCGCCACGGGACGGTCAAGCTTGATGTCAACAATAGTAGGGACAGCCTTGTAAATGGCAGCTTGCCGCGCCCTCTCGGCAGCCTTGAACTCAAGACTGCCTTGCTGGAAGCTCATGTACTCTGAAAGAGTCCCATTTCTAACCTCGAAAGGTGCAGCAAGTCGGAGGAACGCCCAGTCGGCCTCCTCGGGGGTTGCCACTACCTTGAAGCCCCTCGCTTCCACAGTCGTCTGGTTCAGACCCTCAATATAGACTGCCGAACCTGAGGCTTCCTTCTGCATCGGGAGTAGGTCATTCTTGTTGGACAAAAGAGTGAAAGACTGGCGCTGTGTTTCATCGGCGATACGCTGGAACTCTGGGTTGCCCACCACCTTGTCGGCAGCCTCAGTGTCGAGAAATGGGTTGTCAAACAAGCCGAGGAGGAACTTTTCCTTGAGCAGTTTACGAACTGAGTGGTCGAGGCGTGTTTCTGGTACGAGTCCCTGGTTCACCAGGTCGACGAGCAGCTCAGGTCGGTTCTCGCCGCCAAGCTGATCGCAGCCAGCTTCCATAATCTTGAGCACCCTCTCGTGCTCCGTCTTATCCTCCATCCCCCACGCGCGAGCGGGGAACGGAAGACCGAATAGTATTCTATCCGACAAGAGAGTCCAGTCGGTCAACACAATGCCCTCAAACCCAAGCTCATTTTGCAATAGGTCCGTGATAATCCCTTTGTTGAACCCGAAAGCCACTTCTTCATACTCTGTCCCGATTGGCCGTGAGTAATATGGCATAATCTGCCTAGCACCGGCCTTGATGGCGGCCTTGAATGGGATGAGGTGATAGTCAAAGTTGTTTCCAGGATAGGTTTGGTTCTTGCCGTAGACAAAGTGAGAGTCCTCTCCGTTCTCGACAGGACCACCCCCGGGAAAATGCTTGGTCACCGTACTGACCGAGTTTACCCCAAACTCCTCGCCTTGAAAGCCCTTGATATATGCAACAATCAATTCGGCTGTTAACTCTGCTTCTTCACCCCAGACGCTATAGATACGAGCCCACCTGGGTTCTGTTGCGAGATCGACCTGTGGATGGAGCGAGCTTCGAAGACCAACGGCAAGGTATTCTTGCCTCGCAATCTCAGCAAACGTTTCCACCAGCTTCGGATCACGCAAGGCCGCCAGGCCAAGTGACTCCGGCCATTGTGAGAAGACTCCAGGGCTGAGGGAGGCCCCAAAGGTGTCCGCCTCGTGATGGCGGGGGTCAGACGAAAGAGAGATTGGGATGCCCAGCCTCGTGTCCAGGGCTCGTTGCTGGAGCAGGTTGTACCATCCGGCGACCTTTCCCGCGTTGTCGATTGGCGACAAAAGGTTAAAGTGTGTCATGTGCTTCTCACCAACCATGTTCTCCGTGCTGTTGAGGTCGATCGGGTAGCCAGGGGGTGTTTTCTCACTCAGAGTGTAGTTTGTTCCAATCGCTATTGAATCCTGAAACATTTGACCGGCCTTTTCTTCCAGTGTCATCCGTGAGAGGAGGTCGTCGACTCTATCGGCGACTGACCACGAAGGGTTGCGGTAACCCAAGGATTGATTGTCTGCTCTGGTTGCAAATACAGCGTGGTTCATTGAGGATCCATGGCTGTGCTTGCAGGCTGCGAGTTGTGCCAGGAGGCCAACCACCAATGTTGTAGAGTGTTGCAACATCCTGAGGCGTTCTGCAGCACGGCGTGTTTCTATTAGATCCTAACCTAAAAGAAAAGAAGGCGATGTTATTTGGAGAACTGCCTTGAGTAGCTTCGTCTACTCGTATATATACATGAAAGAGGGCTTGGGAGTCTCCGGACCAGGGTCTTGTTTCGTCCATGAGCTCTACCTTACACAAACATTGGACGCTCGTTGGCTGGAAACTGTTAGTATCTATGTAAGATTCGGATGCCCCGGTTCTTGGTCTTCGTTTCTTGCTATTTTTTAATTTCCGTTGTGCGTATTCCGTGCCGGGGTCTGTGATCTGCAGGGACAATGCCGAGTTATGCTTACTCGTATTTCGCCCCCCTCGCACCGAACCCGCGGTTAGCTGTAAGCAATCCGCGGATAGTTTTCAGACCTGAGTTTTAGAATAAAGATGCTCAGACTCGGTTTGTTAATACAACAATTTGTTTGGGATGTTTACCTGCCGAGCCGAGGCCACCTGCTGTGGCCCAAAGTCGCAACACAATTCCATCTTGGGAAGATTACTTATGAATTTACTATCGAAGCATTCCGAATGAGTTGACTAGAAGCTTAAGCTGGGTTGACCTCATTCCTCGGTGGCTGATTATATCAGTTACTGTAACCAAAGTTGCGAATCCTCAACACATTTTGCCAAGTTTCGTTTACAGTTCTGACTACATATCTCAGGACCCTCAATGCCAAACACTATCATTTTGGTCAAACTGTTTCTATCTTTTGGCTCTGACTTTGTACTTGGCTGCTAATCTGGGTCTAGCACTTCAAAACACATATCCTGGGCCTCTGGTCCTACGAATGCTACAGAGCGCCGTCAGTTCTGGTATGATTAGAAGACTCTTCCATCTGATATTGATTGTTGCGACTAATCGAGAGCGAGAACCGATCATTATGGAAATTATAGGCACAATTTCGCTTGGGTACGGGGTAATTGCTGACGCCACTACTCGGGCGACCAGGGAACTCTACGATCAGCCTTGTTCTTCGCGGAGTCCTTGCTTCAAAGCTCGGATGGGCTGGTCCCTCTGCATCTTAGGTGGCGCTTGGGTGGCTCTCGTCTTTTTGGTGCTGCCGGAAACATGCCGTGTCGTAGTCGGCAATAGAAACGTTGCTGCTTGCGAAATTTACAAGTTAATGATTCCAAATCTGGTTGAGCCTGAGAAGATGAATGCATCGGAGCGAGATCGTACATGCCTGTCCCGGCCCGATTACATGCCTAAATTATTGCTCGAGAAGGATGTTGCCGTTATTCTCTTATGCAACGGTATATATTACACCACTTACAGTTGTATCCAGGCGTCCCTCTCAACTCTCTTTGTTGAGATTTACAATTTTGAAAGTCTGGAGGCTGGGCTTATTTATATACCTTTTGGTGTAGCGTGTCTCGTCGGCACCTTGATTTGGGGCAAGTTTGCAAACTCCTTTGGGAAAACATGCTCGATACATTGGTTTTGAGGTAAGGTGCTAAACTCTGACTAGGCGCGAGCGGCACGAGAGATTGGCGTATCAGCAAACAGGGCGAGAGAAGATGACGGAGTTAAGATCCCGGTTGAGAAAGCCCGTCTCCGCAATGCTTTGTATCTTGTTCTGATCTGTACTTCTGGGACAATTGGATACGGCGGGGCTATTCAGTTTCAAGTTGTGGGTAGCTGCAAATCAGCGGCTACCGAGGCACCAGATACTGACCTAACTATTGCCCAGCATATTGGGGCTCCCCTCGTCCTTCAAGCTCCTGTAGGATTTTCGAGCAGAGGTCTTCTTGTGGTTAGTCAACCTTGTCCGAATGTATTTGGCTCGGCTAATACGAAGCAGGCACTTGGTACTCTACTTACAGACTCGAACCCAGGCGGCTCATCTGCCGCTGCGGTTCTGCCAACTTGTTCAGATGTGCACTAGCAACAGTAGCTCTGGGTGTACTTCAATTCATCATCAACAAAATAGGGGCCGGTGATGTTTTACAATATCCGGTGGGTTAAGTGGTCTTTGCGGGCCGTTGGTGTATGGGAGATACGTACCAGGTGTGCTTCGTGGAAGAAAAGGTCCGAAACGCAGGACAGTCTCTAGGCTGGGTTCATCGATGATGATCTGCGCCTACGAAGAACTCTTGTCTCTCCAATCAAATGCTGTATATTGTTGTCATCCATAACTTACGTCATCTTAGTACGGAAATTTGACCACCGTGAGTGGTGTAAAAGAACTTATGGATCAATACATGGTGTGGCGGAAGACTGTAGTCCTCTTTGAGTAAATTGAAGCTTATGAGATGGTCATGGTAAAGCTCAAGCTTGTCTGTAAAACGCGAGATCTCGATTCGTAGCTGACCACCGGAAGCGAGAAAGGCTTTCATCTGCGTTGAGAACTAAACATGAACCAATCAGAAACATAACCTGAATATTGGTTCTGCCGCTAGTTACTTCACAGCTTCTTTCTAATACAGTCAGATTACGTTTAGAGATTGTTCCGAGAGGCCTCGGGCGAAAAGTCGGGCAAAACGTAAAATCTCGCCGACCCGATTGGATCTTTTGCCTCGCCCATCGATAAAATAGCCTTCAAGTTTGGTGGCATCCGTTGAAAAGGCTGTAGAATCAGCTGAACATGAGACCGCCATTCAGATTTTGTGTGAGGACTTGTGACGGATCGCCCCTGGCGAAGAATGGACTTTGGTTAAGTTGCTATTTTAAGACCTCAGCTTTGAGTAATGCCGAAGTGCCGTACTCACATGAGTGGCACTGGGACAAGTAAGCTTGGCGTTGCAATGGACCGCAGCAGGTATGAGTTGCCGTAACGAGTACTCGCCGATAGACAAAAGACCAAACTGAGTTTCGAGTTCTCGTCGGCTTGGGCACAGCAAGATCCTGTGGCAAGTAGATATAAAAGGCGTCCTAATCACGCAAAATTCTCTTGATATGTTCTCATCCAACAGCAGACAACTCATTGGACTATCAAAAACTTTCCTTAACACTGATAATTATCCAATAACTCCTCTCTTTCAAGATGAAGTTCCTCAACGTTCTTCCATTGATCTCTCTGGTGGTAGCAGCCTCCAATGATACAACACCCACTGTGCCCGTGGAGGTCAAAATTGAACAAGTTGGAAGCACGGCTTTCAAGGCCACTGTTCAGAGTCACCATACTGCCGACCTGAAGCTTTTGAAGATTGGCAGTATTCTGGATGAGTCAGCTGTTGAGAAAGCCACTGTTCTCTCTGGAGGTAAGTCTGAGGCAAGCTACACAATCCATAGAGGGATTCGATAAGCTGACTGTCAAGCAGAAAATGAGATTGAATTCCAAGGAGTCCAGTTGTACGTCAACTACATGAACCTCACTGACTCTTCCTTTGTCAATCTCCCTGCCAATGGAGCACTGGAGAGTACCTTTGACGTGGCTACACACCATGACCTCTCCGCTGGTGGCGAGTTCCAGGTTGATGCATCTGGATTCATCCAATACGCCGAGGGTTCAACTGAGATTGCCGGTGTCATCCCCTACGAGTCCACCTTTACCATCAAGGTAGATGGCGCTGAAGCAAAGGGCAAGCTCTCGGTTTTTCAGGATGACCCCGAGGTTTTCGGACGCGCCAAGGTCAATCGAAACACCTGCAAGGGTGAGAAGCTCACCAAAGCCAAGAACGCACTCTCCCTCTGCCACAAGAACGCCAAAGCCGCCGCAAAGGCAGCCAGGAGCGGACCCGACGCCAGGATGAAGGAGTACTTCAAGTCAGCCACCGCCGCCACCCGAAAGCACGTAGCTGGGGTCTTTGACGCCATCGCAAAGGAGTGCAGCAGCAACACCAGCGGCAAGATCTCCTTTGGCTGTGCCAACACCAGCTTCTGCAAGAGCAACCCTGGTGTTGTCGCTTATGCTTCCGGTATGAACACTGTGTTCTGCCCCCCGTGGTACAGCCAGCCAGTCAACGGCCAGTGCCACCAGGGCGACAGGGCGAGTGTCATCCTGCACGAGTTTAGCCATAGTCTCAAGGGCACCAAAGACTTCAACGCCTATGGTTATGCCGCGGTTCGACGACTTCCTGCCAAGAAGAATATCAAGCACGCCGACAGCTACACCTACTTCTCCAACGCGGTTGAGGTCAACTGCTAAGTTTAGAACTATCCAGGAGGACCCTTAGCGGGGCTAAGTTGTTTACTTTTTGACTTGGTCGCCAGTTTGTAACAGTGTTCACTTCTTGCTTACCTGTGAAGGCTTTTGAGATCTGGCAAGAAAATATTGTACCGCTCTTTAGTACATTATCCCATAGACTCAATGTGACACTATTATTCTACTCTCACGCTTTAGCCAGAAAATATTGTTTTGTAGCAACAGTGAAAGTTAAAACAGCGGGTTCTATAGGGAGAGCCAAAAGCATCTGAATACGAGATAGCGACAAAGCAAGAGTCAACACTCTATTCAAAGGAGATCTATAGTCTCATATCCATTCCCAACATATAATTGACCGTACATGATGCTATGAACAAGCGTCGCCCCAACGACTGTCCAACCGCGACCATTGCCTGCTTTTCTCAACACCATGGGAGTCGGAATACCGGGGAGCACGAAGACTTCGTCTCCAACAGAGACTCCAAGAGGGCCCGTACCTGCAAGCCCACCCGACAAGACATACAGACCTCTCTTCTGCTCAACCAAAATTTTCACCAGCCGAAGGAAGTAGTTTCCTATATAAGCCCGGCCGGCAACCTGCTCAAACAGCTGGACAGTCGCATCTCTGGATCCTTCTTCTGATTCGAGATTCAATCCTGGCAATGCAGCCGCAATCACCTTGAGCAGCTCACTCAGTCGCCAGAACTCTCTCTTCTCCTTAGTAAAATCATACGGGCCCTCCCAAGCCGGCAGCCGCACCGTGTGTTGCATCATACCACTATTGCTTTGCTTATATGTTGTCCCTCGTATTCGAATAAGCCCTTCAAGCACGGAGAATGTTGTAGTGGTTGCGTCATCGCTAAGCAGGCCGTGACTCGTTCTGCCACCTACATATGCGAAGAATTGCACGAGGCGGAACAGTGCTGATACCAAACCAACACCTGGCTGCGCTTGGGAGGTACTACTCTCGGCCGGGATGCGCATGTCTGTACTAAACGTAACTGTGCCTACGCGCTTCCCCTGAAGTCGAAGGATGGCGTTGTCGACAATACTGACGTCTCTGGGCAGACTTGGATACGCTGCGTTTGGAGCACTCGCCCCAGTGCGTGTGCGATACTGCGATACGAGCCACTCGCTAGGACCGCTCTCGGACCAGTTGGGGACCCAGGATGGCGCCAGCTGTAAAGGCTTCCCAGCATCAAGAATCATGACGAGCGCCTGGGCATCCCAGGCGATGAGCTCCTGCATGAGGACGTGGTAGGTCTCGCCCACTGAGCGTCCGTAATCTGGCTTGCTCGGCGTGACGCGGCAGATGTCGAGGACCCCGTGCAAAGAAAATGACTTATCGTGATGGTCTGAGCAGTCGCGGTTCTTCAACGCCGAGCGGACGCCATCGATAACGCGGGCACGGATCTCGCCGTCTGCATTATCTGCTCTTGCCCACTTCTGGTCGAGCCCAACCACGAGCTGTCTCCATATCTTGAGTAGGTTTATCGACAGGCTCAAGTAGATGAGGCTGCCAAAGAACCAGAAGAAGCCGAACCGTCCAGGCTCATCTGTTCCAGTCTCTGCCCCCTTCCATACAGCCCAGTAGAGCGCCACGAGGCCAGCACCAACCAGCACACTGGAAATTAAACAGAACATATGCAATTGGCTTGCTGGACCATATCTAGACGCACTCCATACAGTTTTGACTCCCTCTTGGATGGACTTTATCCGTTGCTGATCTCTCCCTTGTCGAGGCCACGATCGCAGGCTTCTTCGAGAGAAGTTGAACCAAAGCGTGACAAGGGGCCACCACTGCTCAAAAGTGACCTCGTTGATGGGCTTTGACCTCACAAAGTAGCTGTCCTCGTGATGGAAACAGATTGCGTTTGCCAATTCCTCCCATATAATTGTTTCTTCTCCGCAGAGGAATACCATATCGCGTGCTAAGAGGAACTCTTGGAAAGTCCAGCACCGGAACACCCACGGGCTGCGTAGGATCACGTCTAAGTCGACCTTTCTCGTCCATAGAGGCGATAAAGAAAAACGAACTAAAGGATTAAAGGGCATAATCGTCAGCGGAATGTTTTGCTAGCCCACTACAAGTGGCAAAAGCGCGCTCACAAATCATGTCTCGCCAAGAAGCATGCTGATACTGCCGCAGAGCATCCCGGTATTCATCGTCAGACTGCGCCCGCACGATGGCCAAAGGGAGCCTCGCACCGAGCCGAGCCTGCTTCTTTAGAAATCTAAGAGCTCGGTCTGATTGTTTATTGCCATCGCCTAACCAGACGTAGACACAGTTGGCCATGCTATATATATCTCTCATCAAGGGGATCTGGTGGATTTTCTCCTCGTCGTCATTCTGGTTGATACATATCGAGTCCACCCAGATGGATAGTTTACCAAAACGACGGGTGACTTGCTGCAGCCCTCGGAAACAGTTCCAAGGGATATTTACCGGGCAGTTGCCAGGCTGGCAGACAATATAGTGGCTAGAGGTCCCCTTGCCCCAAACATAAGACAGCGAAACAAATGAAGGGTTGTCGTCTAGGTTTGCTAATCGCAAATGGCCTGCCAGGGGTCGCAGTATGTCGAGACCGCCCGCTCCATCCACTGCAGGTTCAATTTCCAGGAGCCGGATGCACCGCGATGTCGGAGGAATGGCGACATTGGAATAAAGCTGTGATACACCGTGCGGATCCATTATTCCTGAAGTGACGCGAAAGGGAAATAAAGGGAAGGGAAGGAAATACTTCGACAAAGCCGGTGCATCTGCAGCAAACAAAGCCGAGACGTTGGCCCACGGTGATGGCTACAAATTCGATTGAGGGCTGAATGTGAGGCTGTGCATTGAAGAGAGGCGAAGTCAGTCCCAGTTCGCGCAAATCTGCCTTTCCCCACTTCCACTTCCACTTGCTTGCCTTGCAGATCATCTGTCTCACCAATTGTTTGATGAACAAAGGCATCTCATATCTAGTGTGGCTGGAGTTGAATGCCTTGAGCTGCTTCCATTTCATCTTCAGATGGAACACTTACTACTAACCTGAGCTACTTTAGCAATACGCTCCTTGTTAAAAGGCTCAAACGCCGCCTGGAGTCAGCTCAGCCTCCAAGATTGAACTACTGTTGTCTCGAATATTTGTGCCGTGCTTCTCCTCCTTCTCTTCATTGGGTACTGGGGCGACTGTCAATGCAGTTAGGGATCATGAACTGCTCCCGGCCTAGTAATGGCCGTCCCTGCCAAGGTGTAGTCTTCCTCAGTGTCTGCCCTTCCAATATTAACTTTAACTCTACCCTTTACCAACTTTTGGGAGATGAAGAAATAGGGCATCTATACTGGAAGAGAAGAATTTTGAAGAGCCTCTTCCATGTAGCTCGTCAGTCTACATCCTTAGGCGTGTATCCGGTCCGAGCCACGTCGACCAAGACGTCGCGAAACGATGGCAGCTAGTCGGTGATTTGGAAAGCGAGATTTTTGATTAGAGACGACATTGATCTTTTGGGTTCGTCTCCAGCTCTAAAGAAGAAGTGTTGTACTGCAAAACCTTGTCGCTGGAAATGCTGTATTAGAAAAGCAGCGACGACAAATTTCCCTCTGCCTGGCGTCCGTATAGGTCAGAATACCCAATTGAGATGAAGAAGAGACAATTGCTCACAGCCTCCTCCTTGGGCTCCTTGAGGACCCATTTAGAGGCGCTTTCCGTTCGACGACTGCAGAAAAGGTCAAAGCGTGTTCAAAAGAGCTAGAAGTAGACAATACGTGAGAGAAAGAGAATAAAGTTTAACAGCAATGGAAGGTGCCAGAGCCCGACAACTCAACACAATGAATAGAAGTAGACAATATCTCGTTGATTTGCTGTACTTCTTCGTCTTTTGCCTCCTTCGATGGTTGTGGGTCCACGATCTTTCATAATTATCGGTGAGGATGATGACTATAGCTACTTTAATTTCTATAGGCCCTTATATCTAAAGGACAGTATTGGATATCTACTATATGTCAAAGTAGTCGGTAGTTGAGAGTTTTATGGTAGATGTAAGACGGACCCCTAAGCTAATGGTGATTACTCACATGTTTCGTTGGCAAGTCTCAAGCCAGACGGATCTGTTGTGCCAGGAGTACCCTATAGCATCGATACAAACGATAGATCGGAGCTCGTTCATCAGGTGCCGTACTCGTTGACACTAAAAAGGCCTTGAAGCTACGGCGTCTCGCTAACACCGATGGTTGTTCAACTCAAGTTATTCTTCCAAGCCGCATCTTTAATCCGATATTACTTTCCGATCCGTGATAAAATCCTCGAATGAATAGCTTGCGTCGGGTTGGATCTGTTCATTCTCGTTCGTTATTCAGGGAGAATATATACCAGTGGGCCGATGACGTTCCGAAACCTTGTGTCACTGAAAGCTTAAGACTCTTGAGGCGTTACGGGTGGCAATCTTTTATCGCTAATTTCTTAACAACTAATAAATGAATGATTGAAGGAAAATTCAGGAGCGTACCAAGCATCAATCAACGATTTATTCTCCAGCTAAGTGATTTTTATAATACTTTTCTGATCAACGTAGCTCAGGATGAGGCCTTGCCTAATAACAGTGAATCTAGACGTGAAAATGACTTCACTTTTCATTGAAGGTGGCTATCCTGTTCATTATTTCACCCCCCTTAAGTATATGCGCCTGTCTGACAGGCTGAAGGGCGCTCTGGCAGTGATAGTGGTTCTACTGCCCCTTCTGACGTCGGATACTGATGTTCAAAGAATTTAAACCTGAACCTCAACTGCTTTTGTAGTCAATGATGAATTCCATTTATCGCGCGACTCAAAACCCTCTCAACTATCTATATTTTCACACAAGGAGGGGGAGGCGACTGAAGCCCATTAAGCACTTGAACGGATGGAATGCAAGACATTTGATACAGGATATCCGTCTGGTGACTGAAGCGCTATACAACACCGCGAGCTAAGCCACTACGCATCTAACATGAGGATAGGTGAATCGTGGGATATGTGATTCAACAGACAGGCGGGGGAGCGTCACGGAAACACCAGTTTGGACATTTGCCATCATCTTGTGGGCCTAGAGAAATGTGATGTAGTTATCGGGTCCATTGCTTAGAACGCGTATGAAGCATCACTTATGTAGGTTGCCGCAGATTTCAGATACGAGACATATGACGCGCTAGAATTTTTGTGACGACTTCCACGCTGGAACGCGAGGTTTCACTTTCTCCGTCCATAGTCCCAGGGGTGGATGAGATGTTGGAGGATGTGTGGAGTAACTAGGGGCCTTCCAAGGGAGGCTTTGTTGGTGACATCTCAAAGTCGGCTGGGAGTCGTTTTACGGGCACAGGTACTGCGGCAACTTGGGATTTACGGCCGGACTGAGTCACTTGTGGCGGCAGCATCACGCGTTGTTCCAACCAATGGCTCATACTTCTCAATTAGAGGATCAAAACGGTTCAATTGGAGAGGGAGGTTGGAACTTAACTAACCTAATAAGAGTGGCTCTTCCAGGCTAGAAGAAGAAGGCAACGATGGGTTCAAGGTATGAAGGACTCGGTTTCTTTTTCCACATGACATTACAGTAACGAATCTCGGCGATAAAGGATTTTGATTCATGTTTGGGGCTATCTAAATATGAAGGGATATGGTTGAGAAAACAGCAGATGCCGGGGAAATTTTCATCTTATCGCCGGCCCTCGACTGGAATTCAACTCCCCGAAAGCCCATGCTCCAGGGGCTTGGATATATCTAGGATATATAACTATTGAGAAACAGACAAAAGACCATGCGGCACAGAACCGGAACAATCTCAACTAATCATTTATCAGAAGTACTATTAATATTTTGCACTTCCTTGTCTGTCTAGGCTGACAATGGCTATGGGCGATTCCAAGATTGAGGTCGTTGGCGTCCAGCCTGAGATGCCTCGGCGCTTCTCGATCTGGTCTCTTGCCGCGCTGGCGTTTACCTTGACGAGCACATGGCAGGGAACAGCATCGTCTATTGGCGCTGGGTTGATGGCAGCAGGCCAGGGCGGCATGATTTGGGCGTTGACCATTGCTGGTCTTATGACAACGGTTGTTGCTGTTGGCATGGCTGAGCTGGCCTCAGCATATCCTGTTTCGGGGGCACAGTATTATTGGTCATTCATGGTCGCACGCGATGATTACAAGGCATTTACATCATACATGTGAGCTTATTCTCGAGAATGGCGATATAATGTGTAGAGATTGCTGACCCTCCTCAGAACTGCCTGGCTGACCGTCATCGGATGGTGGTTTGCTTCTGCTGCCGTCGCCAACTTCGTTGCGTCTACTATTCTAGACATCATTGTCGCCTGGACTCCCGACTTCGAACCTCAATCTTGGCAGAAATACTTGCTCTATGTGTGCCTTATTTGGATTGCAGCATTGGTCAACATCTTTTTAGCCAACTGGATTCCTCGCTACAACAAACTGACATTCGTCTTGGCCATTATGAGTCTTTTCTCCACCTGCGTCACACTGTTCGTTATTCCTCGAAACAATCATGCCACTGCCGCCACCATCTTCACCAAAATCGAGAACCGAACCGGGTGGTCGAGTGATGGATTCGCTTTCATGCTTGCCGTAGGAAATTCTGTTTTTGCCTATCTTGGAGGAGACTGCGCTGCGAAGATGGCCGAAGAAGTGCCCAACCCATCCAAGATTATCCCTCTGGTTACCCTGTTTCCGCCCATCATAGGGCTGATCACGGCGTTTCCCTTTCTTATATCTTTGATGTATTCAGTAACTGATCTCGATGCTGTCTTTACTAATACTAGGGGCTTGCCACTCTTTCAGATTTATCGGCAAGGAACTCAATCACATATCGGAGCATCTACTCTGCTTGGAATTTTTGCTTTCTTTCAGTTTAGCACTCTGATCGCCTGTGGTAAGTTGAGTTCCTACGGTTCTTATTGTGTCACGTCTAGTTGTGGGCTAACCACATATTCATGAACAAGCCACAACAACGTCGCGAACCGTATGGGCCGTTGCTCGGGACGGCGTCCTCCCATATTCACAGTACTGGGAGGTAATCCATCCAGTTGCGGAAATTCCCGTTAACGCGGTCCTACTGTCTGCCTCTTTCATCTCGGTATGAGGCCCAAATTCCATATAACACTACGAAAGGCATGCTAATTACCCGGACATTGCAGGTATACGGATTACTATTTCTCGGATCATCGACAGCATTCTCCGCCATGGTCAGCGCCGCCATCATCTTTGTGCAAACCTCCATCGTCCTCCCGCAGGCCGTTCTTCTCTTTCGGGGACGCGGTCAGGTCCTGCCTCCTCGCTATATGAATCTCGGAAAATTTGGTGTGGCCGTTAATGCTGTCGCTGTCAGCTGGGTTGTTTTCCTGAACGTCATCTATTGCTTCCCTACCAGGATGCCCGTTTCGGAGAAGAACATGAACTACGTCTCTGTCGTCTGTGCGGGAATGATGGGTTTCATCCTACTCTTATGGTTCACTACCAAGAAGAAGACCTTTGTGGGGCCGACAATTGATATCAAGGCCCTTCATGCTAGGAGAGAGGAGGCCATGCAAACTGAACTCACCATCATCAACGCAGGACACACTTCGGACAGCACTGTGGTCGAAGAAGAAAGTATTTCTGAGAAGAAAGACAAGGAAGAACTCGGCATCAAAATATCACACACCGCGATAACCCGCCGCTTATCCTAAATCCAGACTGTAAATATCGCGGGACGAGCCATAGGATTATGGGGAAAGCGTCAAGGGGCCAAGCGCTGATCACCTTCATGGAGGAAAGAAAATGTCCCAAGGGTCTGCTCCTGCTAGGGTCAGGTTAGGGCGGACTGAAAAAAACCGAGATGCATCAAACGCTGCCACTGAATAGCGCATTTCCAGGTTGTGTCTGATGAAAGAACTTAAGGACCATCTCAGAGCTGGGTTTCAAATACCTCACATAGTGTATTATTATACTTTTTCTGGCCATCCTACTACAGAGGAGAATAAAGAGGGGATTAGAACCTCGAAGACAAACAGAGCAGCAGGTTCTGCATGATAAGAATCATTAACTCGACACAGTAGAGCCCTTCTTGTATGACTTTCAGTTGCCCAGGCCCTCGTCCGCCTAAGACCGAGAGAATAGCTTCTCTGGCATATGTGTATCTGCTGCTCAAAGGCGTATTCAGGTTTGCTACATTTTGAAATCTTCGAATAGAAAGACGAAGCTTGGTGTTGAGAAGTAACAAGTTATCTACTGCATCCTACACTGACTTGACAGGGTCCCAACTTGTATCATGGATAGGAATTCCGTAAGTAGCCAGTCGCTAAACTTGCTTTCTTTTTTGAGCCTGTTGCGACCTATTCCAGACTAGCCTTTGCCTCAGATGGAAAATCAGGGTCTACTTCAGGCAAACTTCCGCTCGAACAGCATCTATTTTTAGTTCGTTGCATTTACTTCATGGAGTGGGGCCATCCTTTGCCATATTACATGGCATAGTTCAACTTCATGCAGAGTCGCATGAACACCCAGCCGAACCAGACAATTTAAGATGAAGGGTTTTCCATTTCTCGCGGATCCCCCCAGCTTCTTTAGCACCGACACGTATTGCTCTCCTTTTCCTTGACCATGCTATTTCTTCGAATATTTGCAGCCTGGCTGGCCATGGGCGCAGTCAGAAAAGAAAAGGGGGCCAAGGGTGGAAAGGATGTGAGATACATGTTCACATTGTAAGTCGTATCATTTGGGACTGTGTTCGAGCAATTCCTAACCTGTCTAATCCTCTCGATTTCGAAAATAGTGGTGACTCGTATTCTACAACTGGTTTCAACATTTCTAGCACAAAACCGAACCAAGAGAACCCATTTGGGAACCCAACATTTCCTGGAGCGACGACTTCTGGGGGTTATAATTGGCTGGGTTGGCTCGTGTCTGATTATAATAAGAAAAACACAAACACATTCGTCTATAATTTCGCATACTCTGGCGCAACAGTAGACAGATCGGTCATCCCACCGTCAAGTGACAGCTCGCTTACACTGACCGACCAGATTGGGAGCTTCACGAAAAATCTCGCCAAGAAGCCCGATTATGCACCGTGGGAGTCCAACAATGCACTGGCCGGAATATGGATCGGAATCAATGATGTTGATATTTCTTACCAACGGCAGAATGCTTCAGAGTACATCAAGGAGTCGGTCGACGTGTGCTTTGAACAGCTTGAGGTCTTATATGACACGGGGATACGAAGTTTTTTTATACTACAAGTCCCACGTGAGTTCACACTCTTCATCAATTTTGACCCTTGAGGACTAATTATGTGGGATGTCTTCAGCATTGGAGAAAACTCCAAAGATATTAGCCAAGGGCGACAAACCTACCAAGAAAATATCTGAATATAATAAGCGTATTTCCGAAAAGCTCAAATCATTTAATTCCGCACACGAGGACGCTCGAACCGCGCTCATTGACACATCTGCACCTTTCAATAAAGCAATCAGGGATCCGAAGAAGTACAATGCAACAGATGCCACATGCCAAAATACAGATGGAAAGTCATGTGTATGAATAAAACTCTCAACGCTTCTTTTGAAATTTTCCTCAGTTGCTGACTTCTATTTACGTAGCTTTGGTATGATGATTTTCATCCTGCTGTTGCTATTCATAAACTAGTTGCATATGATATCAGCGTGGCTTTAGGAGAAGGAAATCTATGGTAGTTCATGTTGAGTGCCAGAATGATTTAAAAGTAATTAGCATAGAAGTTGAGAGGCCTTAAGGTAGGTGGCATGATGTGCGACGATACGTACCGCGTTGACGTACCTAGCTACCGGTTGATCTCTTTACCCTGAAGTCATGTTTTTCCCCATGATCGAGTCCTATCTAATAGATTAATGGTAATAAATTAATGGAAAACAGAAGAAATAATACGATGATAGGTTATTTCTCCCAAATATTTCCTTGTCCATAATACCTCTACACAAATAAATGTAATTAAGGAAAGGGGACCCCGGTCCTGAGACTCTTCATCTTTAGGATATTCTTCTAACCTGGTTATGATTAATAATTAAGTAGGCCTTATTGATGGAGAGCGTCATAATAAAGAGGGGCTGCATGATTGTACTTTGGGGATTTCTAGGATCAGCTCTCGACTTATGACGGCATTATGTTCCTCTTCCGGGAAACCGGAAACTATGGACATAGGATAAAGAAGCAAAGGGAAATAAATCATGAAGATTGCAGGGTTTTAAAGCCAGGGACTTTTTCACATTAGTTATGGCTGTGGTAGGGTAGAAATAGCTCAACCTAATAACGGGCAATCCCGCAGCGTGAAACCTAGCCGAACCTTCTGTCTCGGCGCCACTAGTAAAATCCCGGACCGTGAGATGAAGGGAATTCGGAAATCAAATAGGGCATATCACCACCCTGTTCTCGGCTCCTCAGATGTCGCTCCCTTGTTCTTCTGTGTTTACGGAGAAGAACGTATTGGGCGTCTAAAAGTTGCCTTGTTCTATGGTCTACGGCCGTGATATGATCCAGAAACTAAACCAGGCAGCAGAGCAGACCAACAGGATATGAGAATTTCCATCCTCCTCTGTTTGAGAAACACTGTATCAAACCGGTGGCCAAGTTGCCAAGCCAACAAATCCAAGAGCAGATCAGTCCACATAATGTGGAGCAACTCACTGATTCCCAGGGTCGATCATGGGCACAGTTCATGCCATTATCTATATACTTAGTAACGGCCACATTAAAAGATGTGATAGAGACCATGTGCCCTGGCAACGAGCGGGCAGTGGAGGCCGTTTGAATGTGGGGGTAACCCGGTAGCTGGGCACGTTGATATGACTTGTCAGATACCCATTGGTGTTGCTTGGACATCACTTCCCCTTTTACTGAAAACATCAGGCCGTTCTTTGAGAGTGGAATGCTTGCTTGAAGCTGATTAGCTGATGGAGTCCCTGTTTCGAGTGTGTGTGGGCGGGATTTCCGGCATTAGCCCAGGACCCGTCATGACATCATCTTATAATGCAATACAGCACTAAGATAGCGGGAACTGGGCACCAACGGATGAGCTGTTAAAGGAGATGGCAAGGGCACGGCTCGATGAAGGAGCACCAGAGGAGCATTCCAATCTTGCGGTGTGAAATAGCCGGCCCAACGCGATGTGCGTCATCATACACCGGCGCGACTCTGCAACGCAACCAGTCTCGCCCTTCCCCTGAGGCCGGCCAACATTATATACCGCGTTGAGCAAGACTCCAAACATCTCAACCGGAGGCATGGCAAGTTTCTTGGCCATAGTTAATTCATCCTAATTGCGCAGTCACCAAAAATCCGGAACGTTGGGCACCATGAATCACGCTAACATGATCGAGGATAAGTACCTCAAGGTGAGTCCACTTACACCACCGAAACCCTTGACGCATGAACGCCTACTGAGATTTATGACAGAAAGGATTTATCATCGCCACCGTGTGCTCCACCATAATCGGTACCTTCACCTCGTCTATTGGCCTCTGGGACAAGGTCAAGGAGAGGAGAAAGCAAAACATCCGTGACTCGACTCAAGACGAGGAGATCAAGAAGCTGAGAGAGAGGGTCGAGGAATCGGAGAAACAAGCTCGAGAGAGGGAACAGAAGGGACCAAGGGAATCTAGGCGCAATTCCCGAGACGAGGTTTCCGACTCCTTTGAACGGTCCAGCGCGCTCATCAACCGGGAGTTCCAGATTGGCTATGACCAACTGGGCAGAAAGTTCGCCGTCGGAGACATGGTCACCGAGAACAGGCTCCAAGCACAAGTCATCACTCTTCAGCAAACCGTCATCAACGTCCTGCAGGATGCTCTAGAATCTGGCCGCAAACTGAACCGCGCTGACAAGGCAAAGCTCATCGCTGCGTCTGACGCTGCGCGGGAGGGCTCTCTAGATGCTCTCCGTCAACAACGGCAACGGCTAGCCCTGGCGGCTCCTGAAGAGATACCCCGCCAGCAGCAACTGACCCAAGGCCCTCCAAGCCGTTCCTCTAAGTCTTCTGTCAAGTCTTCTGCACAGTCTTCTGTTAGGTCTCCTGTGCAGTCTTCTATTAGGTCTCCTGTGCAGTCTTCTGTTAGGTCTCCTGTGCAGCCCTCTGTTAGGTCTCATGTCCCGTCCTCTGTCAGATCCCTTGCCCCGTCTTCTGTCAAGTCTTCTGTCAAGTCTTCTGTTGTTGAGTCTGATCCCCTATACTGCTGGTATAGCCTCGACTTGCAATATTCTCAGCGTAAGCCTCTGGCAATCAATTTCGCTCCCAGGAATGACTGCCGATGCCCCGACTGTGGTGTTCGGCTCGAGGTGGAATCGGATGACCGTTGGGTCATTGAGAAACGCACCTCTCCGCCACCATCACCGGACGGATACAGGGAGAGACGTCAAGGGCGTGTTGAATTTGTCGCTAATGCACGCTTCGTCATCAAGTGTCACACGCACCACGGGGAGTTTGCCTGCGTTCTTTGCAGAAAACATCGTGAGAGCGACATGCTATGCCCCACGGCCGATACGCTCCTCGACCATGTGGGCAAGGAACACAGCATCAGTGAACTCATGAAAGAGCCTGACATTGAAGCGGTATGACTATCGGTGAAGCGGCTGAAGGTGGAGAGGCAGGCAAGTGCTGGAGCATCGTCATTTTCAAGCAGGCATTATCATTGCATCAGGCGTTCATTTTTCTTTCTCACGGAATTTTATGAAAATATTATTGCATATTCTGTATATAGCTCATGGGGTCCAAAGCCTTTCAAATATGATCCAGTTACGATTGAAGAGATACGATTGAAGAGACATTCCAACCCATCGCCTTCGATGATATATTGATTGTACAAGACCCCGCCCTTCGTATTACCGAAGGAGAGTCGAGGGTCATGGTAAATAACCCCCTCCATGTTCGGTTCTGGGATTAGGAAACAAACCTGTTTGATTGGATAACTTTAACAGTCCCTCAGAGCTTCAAATGTTGATCCTAGTTGGGCCTTGGTGCAGGGGGAGAAATGCCGAGTTTCAAGAGAAAGGGCTACTCCTGGCCGGAGAGATGCGTCATTGAGACCCCTGGGAACTTTGATGCTGTAAAGCGGGCATTGTACAGATATTCTTTGAAAGCCTCGGCAATCAATCAGACAGGCGGTGAACGAGGAGCAATGATGCTGATGACCTCACTGGCGTGCGACGTGGATCTGTGGAATGCTTTGATGACTAAGGCGAACATTGGGTGTTGGTGGTCACATCAGGCAAAGGCATTTGTCGGCACAGACATGACCAGACGATGGCAATCTCTCTCCCGCCCGCACCACGGCGGTATGCCAGAGGCACAATCGTTAAAGGGGCCGTCGATCCACGAAGACCGCCACTGCCGGCTACAGCGATGAAGCAAGACCACCACACATTCCTCTCCCAGCCGACCTGTTTCCACAGCCAAGAAAAGCTCCGACCTCTCGAAATGGCGAGAACGAGACCAGCACGGCGAACTCCTTGACGACAGTCAATCCGACAGCCGGTGGAGTACCTCCTCCATCGCCAGTCCAGAAATCGACAACTCCCTATGCATTGATGGCCGACGACGCGAACGAAGACCGACAACGGAGATAAATCTATTGCCCCAGCCTACGATAGAGCCCCTGCACTATGTAGCCAGGATCGACCCCATACACCGTGACATCCTTTGGAAGTTATGTTCGTCGCTCCTGGGCCTAGGCCTGGTACCCCGAGTACGCTTGAAGAAGACTCCTCCCGGCTTGACCATTTGCGAGGCTCGGTCAATCAAAATCCCCCCTGGACGAAGCCCTTCCCGCCCAACTATCGATCGATCCCAAACGGGGACGTTCTCGATGCATATTCGTCGCCATGCCTTCGTTGCCGTTGGAAAAATCCGGTCAGGGTGAGGTTACGAATATTACAAGATGGGTGGAATGTCCGACTCTCCCCATGGCATGAAACCACCTCGTCTAGAGAATCGAGCACGAAACAAAGACGAGGGCAGGCCTGGGAAGTTTCTGATTTGGGAAGAAAGCCCGCCGACAAGACGAGAATAGGGCTCTCCAGACTAAAGTCAACGCAACAATGGTGCAATGTCACCTCGTCTAGACTTTGGTATTTGATAATAGGTAGCAGGAGACGCTGTAGTCTGTTCCTGCCGTCCATCATTTAACGTCTCGATAAAATCCAGATGTAAATCAGGTAGGTGTTGTTTTCGTAGGCGCCAATTCGGAGTACAGAGGTCAAGTAGCAGTAATAGGGTATGATGGCGTTGATGGACGCAGTAGTATACCAATAATTCCTCACATTCCACCAATTCTCTTTACTGGTTGCAAGAAAAGTAAAATACCTAAGAAGACGGGGAACGGCAGCTTCATTGATTAAATTCCATCACCTTGAAGGCGTGCGATATTCCGCCGGGTTATCGTGATGATGAAGAATAACTATGCCAATTACCCTTCGACTCCCCCTAGTGGTGTTTGCGACAATCACGAAATGGATAATTTAATTCACGAGTGTTTCAGCAGGCGGGGGAAATTATACTCCGTAGCGACAGAGTAATACATTGTTGCTGATCTGCTCGCACGTAGGAGCCGGACGACTTGCAAAGACCGGCCGATGATGCGAACCTACACGCATCATATCGTTCAATTGCCATATACTTATCAATCCAATGAGAAGGACACTCTGTGTTTGTGAAACAACAAAAATAAGATTCAGGGCACCTGCCGCTGGCGCTCATCACCGTGGCAGCCGGTGGCGTGGCTCGCAAAAGCAATATGAGGTCCAACCACAACAGCTGAACTCGATCCCACCATGTCTGCCACCCCTCCGCTCTGCTTCTCCCATGCCCTTCTTCTTCCAACCCTCAAAACAACATCAGTATCCTCCTCACTACTTGAAGCATATTGCCCAACTGCGACGATGTCTCTCCAAATCAGCTGCGGCGCAGGAACACCCGATTCAACATCCGAGCGAGCCCGTCAAAGAGCAAGGAATATCTTCGACTGGACCTATCCTGATAGTAGGCCCCATGGGGCGCCCGCCCTAGAGAAGCCCTACCGCCGTCCAGAGGGTTTCCTGGTCCGGCTCGTGGCCATTGGGTCCGTCGGTAATTACCTTGGTGGCCTATTCTTCCCAGCCAGCGCCGTGATATTGTTAAGTATGCGAGAGACCAAAAAAGTCCATACTTGTCTACATCCTCTAACCGCCAATCATCCTAGAATCAATTGACCTCGAGCTCATCCCGTGGATAGAGCTCCATCCAAGCGAGGGCCTCTCGGAGCGCAGATGGATCGTCAAATACGTGACGCCCAACTTTGAAGCGCAAATCGCCAGCGGCTGCTCGTTTGAGCTCGGCAAGACGTGGTCGAACCGAGATGGCTTCCTGGCCCTTCCTCGCCAAAGAGCTGGCCGCAGCGCATTTGATCTATTTCGGCCAGACAGCGCGAACGCGTTTGACGTAATGGACGGCCGAGTCGAGGTAATCGTTCACTTCCAAGTCGCGGAGGGACAGAGCTCGAATGGGCGTACCAGTGTCCTCAACAGAAGAGTTGAAAGGAGGGAGGAGGAGGAAGAGGAATCCATTTATGACTCTGATGGGCCCGGAAGCAACTATCAAAGGAAGCGCCCTCTTGCTCGGCCGGTCCAGAGGAGACTTGCACTCCAGCCGACAACTTCCAGCCGAAGGCCTCAGCGTCACAATGTCAGCAGCAGTGACATTGATGGGAGCAGCGGCAGCAGCGGCGATGAAAGCGGTAGCAGCAGTGGCAGTGGTAGTGGCAGCAACAGCGACAGCGGCAGTGACGATGGCGATGACTCCGACAGCGGGAGCGACAGTTTGAGCGGGAGCGGCAGCAGCGAAGACGGCAGCGACCTCTCCTCCGAATCGGAGTCGGAAAACGAGGCAAGACACTCCCCAAACCCACGAACCGCTAAGCGAGCACCTGTTAGCAACCCCCCACGATGTCTCCCCCAACCAATCCAACAAATCCCGGCCAAGCCCGTCAAGAGAGCCCCAGCCCCAAGGACCAGACCAGCCCCTGCAGCCAAGGATGAACGCCAGCCGCCGAGTTCTCAAGCAGTCAACTCGAGGAAGAGGCCCCGCGCAGAGGAAGGGACTGGGGCGGTGGTCCCTGCGAGTGGCCCCGGCGACTCTACCGTGTGCATCAAGATCGAGGATGATGCGGAGGAAGATGATCAGGCTGCCGGGCCGGCAGCTCGCACGCGTGGAGCAGCTTCGAGACGCCCTGTAGAGAAGAGGACGAGATTCAGCAATGGTTGCTAGCGGAGATGGAGAGACGATGTCGGTATGGTCAGGATGACTCGTCGAGTAGGGGGACGCAGCATTGCTTGTCTCCTCGTAAGATGCACACCCTGTAGGAAACATATGATTCTCAATTTCAATACATAATCAACGCTCAAGAGCTATACAAGATACAAGCGCCTTTATATACCGTTTCCCCCCAAACCTTGCCTCCCAACCAGACTCATTGACCGCGTCATAAATGAAAAGTTCGCTTAAATATGAATGAATGATTGTCGCCTTCAAAGTCTCAAAGTAGCGACCTCGACTTGTTTTCACCAGTCCTCCATGTTTCTTGTAGATAACAAAAAGTGCCGCCATCGATGAACGGAGCCGCAATCTACAACCCTGCGCTCGTAGGATGTACACCTATTTCCTGAGAAGATGTTACTTGTTTGTGACTGTCGAGTTGCTCTGAACGAGCCCTATTTTGCCCGACCCTTGCTGGTCAGCGCAATAGTAGGCTGCGGTTTCTCGACATGTTCAGCCTCCGGCCCCTCCTTCTCATCCTCGTTCACCTGGGAGAGTGGCCGTCGGACCAGATCACCGCTTGCGTGGGGAGAGTTTCCCTCTTCTGGTACCGCACTGTGGGCGGTTCCGTCATCGATATTTACGCCAACCATTTCGGCCAGGCTACGGTAATTGAACATCGGTTCATGATCAACATCGTCGCTTCGGTTTGCTTGGCTATTTTCATTGGAATCCGAGGCATGACCACCCGTGTAACTTCCAGAGGGCGTGTCTACTCCGGAAGAACCAAGGGATGACGTGTTGCTCATCTGGCGGAGGTGGGACATTCCTCGAGGGGGGGGCACTGGCAGGGCGCCAGTGGTTGGGGTTTCGTCAGGGGTGGTTGCTGTTTCGGGGGATGAGGAACCTCTATCGACTGCCTTTCCCTTGCTCGCAGGCCCAGCGTCCGTCGAGCTGGCAACGCTGGTGCTCTTAGTTTCCAGCGCAGGGCTCGACTCGCCCGTCTTCGAGGTCTGTGAAGCACCCTGGATGGTAGCTTCGACACGCAGGTTACTGGCCCCGCTGTTGTCGCGCCTTCGGCCAAAGCCGCTCAAAGAGAGACTGCTTGCGCTGGCACCACTGCTTGTGCCGTTGTACGGATGGCTGGCCTGCCTCTTCTGCGCCTTCTTCTCCTCCTTTTCACGCTTCTTGGCCTCCTTACGGTATGCCTTCTCATCCTTTCGTTTCCGTTCCTCCTCAGCAGCCAGCGACAGGCGAACAGCCTCCATGAACATCATGTCTTCCAGCTCGTCCATTCGTGTGCGTCTTGCCGATCTGGGCCCTTGGCGATCAGAGCCATCGGCAGGGTCTGCCGCAGCCGTCTCAGCGGGTCGCTCGCTAGCGGGGGGGTTTGCTGAACTTGCTCCATGATGTCTCCGACTGCTGAATATTCCAGGTCGCAGAATAGAGCGCTGGTCGTTATTTTCGCTATTGACTAGGAAAGCAGCAGTGTGGAGCGCAGTTGCTGCTGCTGCACGGCGTGCTTGATGCTGTCTGACAGAATCAAGCTTTGTCTTCCAATCAGGGCGAATGCGATCTGTCGTGATGACGTTGGGTGCATTGACAGAGAGACTGTGCCCGCGGCGACGGGTTGTCGGTGGACCAGCGGGTGGTGTCGAATGAAGGGAGCTCTGTGAAGACATGGGGGTTCCAGCAGCAACAATGTTTGTGGACGATGTCGAATAGGCAAGACCACGTCGAAATGGTGGGGGCTCGTAGGTAACTCCAAACTCGGGTTGCTGGCAGTATGGACAGGCTGAGGGCTCCGAGATGAGCATTTCGGGAGGATCTTCAGGGTTCAGTCCCTGGTTCGGATCGCGTGCCTGGCCATCGGGGTGGTGCTCGGGAAGGTGAGGATCAGCGCGCTTAATCTGAACGAAGCACTCGCTGCATATGGGTTGATCGCAGCAACGAGTCTGGTTGAGATATGGTGGGTACGTGAGAAAGCAAATAGGGCACTCTGTGGCATCTTTGTAGAGGAACACTTCGAGTGCTTGGCCGTTGACGAATGGATCGTTTGCCAGGAAAATCTCCCGAGGTGCCAACTCAGTAGCGGATGTATTGCGAGAGCTCACACCCAGTGCAGCGGCGAGGGCTTTCGCTCGGGGAGCTTTGAACCCAGAACTCTTTCCCGTGGTCGGATTTGGGCCTGAAGCCGAAGCACTATGATCAGACGCAGCCGAAAGCGTGCGAGGTCCCATCGGCACAGTCAAGTTGTGAATGTTCTGATCGGTTCGTGGAGGGCGAGCGACGAGTTCAGGGTCAGGCACTTGATCAGCGGCGGGGATGGGAAGGCCTCGAGCAGCAGCGATAAGCTGATGTTCGGTCCAACTTTCAGACCAGTCGTTGAGGCCACGCCAGAAGGGAGCCAGCTTACGCTCAATCTAGAGAGACATATTAGCCGGGAAGAGGTCATGGCAATGCAGGTACACATTGCCCGGGAAGCCGCAAATTCAATGTACCAGTAGCTGCCGCACGACGGTCTTGCTGTAATCCTCGGTGCCGGTGTACGTGCCGAGCGTGACCAAGAAGCCCCCGTCAACATGTTCCTCCTTCATACTCCTCTCACGTTCCTTCAGACGAGCGGCCCGCTCTCGCTCAAGCTTCCTGGCCTCTCGTTCCTGCCTCGTCTCACGGTGGGTGAAGGGTGCATCTTCGCGGTTACGGTTGCGATCACGGGTGCCGGAGGAGGACGAAATACCCAGGAAACTGAGTTCAGTTCTGCTGGAACGGTGGTTGCGTGCTGAACGTTCTCTATCTCGGTCGGCGGCGGTCTGGGCTGAGGCGTCAGCGACGGAGCGACGTGTCGCATATGGGCCCTCGGGATCCGACTCTTTGCCATTCGCGTTGCCCATGTTGTAAGGCCAAGATTGAAGGTCAGACGGGAGGGATGGGAGGTTGAAGAGAAGAAGGTAGAAGGCAACGCGACGCAAGCCGACACAACACAACACAACACTCGTCTCTTCACTGGCCAGAAGGTGGCTGATGCGTGCTGCAGTGGGCTGGACGTTGGGGCGGAAGCAAGGGGACAAAGTTGGTGTCGGAATGCGACCTATGCATCAAGTTTAGCCCGACAGTCATGCCATAATTCGCAGCTATGCTATGGGTACAGAGATGAGATGGCGGGGAGAGATGTCGGTGGATGCGCGATAATGAATGGCTGATGGCAACAAGGTAAAGTAGGCTAGGCCCAGGCAAAATGATGACATGAGAAGAACCTGGTCACAGCTCCAAGGTGGTGTGGGTTCACCGATGTTGCTGGAGGACCAGGTACATTTGCTGCTCTGGCGCCTCGGAAATGCGCTACCCGGCAGCCAGGCATGCACCAGAGGTAGGTATGAGACGAGCGCTCAATCGTGCAGGCAAGCAGACAGACCAGCAAGCAGCGTAGCAGGTGCGGGCGTGTTACGTGTACACGTGTGGTGTGGAAACTGAGGTGATGTGATGGATGTGATGCGATGTGGTGCTGGCTAGACCTACCTGGAGAGCTCGACTTGGGAGGTGATTAAGCTGCGTGCGTGCGTGCTGAGCCTCAGATGAAGGAGGCAGGGGGGAGAGGCATCTCGCTGGGGCCCCAGACACGAGATAGAGCAGCGCCTGGTACGACAAACAAACAGGCGTGGGTAATTGGCTTGGCCAAGATGGAGAGAGGGGAATGGCGAGCGGGCGGGAGGGAGGGTTGAAGGAGGGTGGAGGAGGTGCAGAGGCCCAAGATAAGGACGGAGCCGAGTACCTGTACTTGTCTACAAGTGGGGCACCCAGCACTGTGTCTGCTGGCTCTAGCGCTATCAGGTACCGGTACTTTTATCAGGTGCTACCTTCAGGTACCAGCGCGTGCTAAAGGCGCTGTACCTGGGTCAGTCCTACGCCGGCAGTTGCAGCATGTGAGCACCAACCTGGAGACGAGAAACAAGAAGCGTACCTACATACCTCTGTGAAAAGGGGACTCTTGAATTGGTATCGACGTCTACCTCATGCATGGGTTATCTGTTGGCCATTGATTTATGTATCTTCATCCAACATTCCTCAGGCCGAGACCAGGGCAACGGCCATAAAGCATGAGCCCCAACACAATTGAAGGTACCTTTGGCTGCCCAAAGCTGCACTAAGCGCCACCCACCCGAGAGCTCGGTGCAGGCATGTGTAACCCAGAAAGCAGCGACTATAGGCTGGGACACTTGTTTCTCTGCCAATTAGGCCTATCGAGATCAATTATGGGAAATAAAAAGAGGTTGGTGGAGGCATCGGTCCCCTGGCTCTGTTGTGATACCTAGAACCCGTGTACAAGGATGGTGGTTCTGATTTAGCTCATGCTCAATAGGCTTCTTCCGAATGATTGGCAAATTGGTAGATGGCGGGTGTAGGTATAAGCGAACAAACCGGCTGGGGCCATCAGATTCAACAATTCCCGCCATGTCTCGCCCGTCCTAACCCAGACGCTGACCCTCCATCGCCGGAGCCGGATGTCCAGTCTCTGTACAAGAGGCAATGTCAAGCCTGGTATCGAGTTACGGTTGAATGTATGCGTGATTTGAGCGTTTTCTTGTTGTATTCAGAGTCAATTGACTGGGGCCGCGAGACAGACGAACCGGCCCATCCGCCTTGCCGGCTCGGCTCCCTTCCTTGCCTTGCCTTTCCTTATGTTGCCTTGTCGATTCGCTCAAGGTGAGATCACCGTCCATCATCGTTATCCCCGCCCTCTGCCCGCCAACATCGGATAGCCCGGCTCCGATGATCGGGCTGATGCTACGTCCATCATCCATGTGCTGTCAACATGTCATGCCATGCTCAAAAGTCACAAACAATGGAAATGATACGGAGTAGGGCTGGGATAGGAGCCAACAGACAGCTTGATCCCTCACAGACAGGTCCAGCCGCCTGCTGCGGGAAATGAAATGAAATGAATTCACCAACCTCCCGCAGGACGCAGTTCGTGTGATCCTTGAACGAGGTCAGTCAATGACGATAATGCCATCCGAGCCAAGCAAAGCCGAGATCCTGATACGAAGCTCCGACCAGCTCAGTTCGCTGCTCGCATAGACGGCCTCCATCATCCATCCTCAGTCATATATATATATATATATTTAGTGATGGAGCAAGTCGCAGGAAATGTTGAGCCCACTGTATGTAGCTACATATAGGTACATATGAGATATTGATATTTTCACAGCCTTGCATACGCGGCAGCTCTCCACCAGAGCCGACCATTCGCATTGACATCTAGCAGACATTAAGGGACCGCTAACAAGGAGCAATGGCTTTGACTACGCTCGCAGTATTCTGGGCTAGGAGTTCTCGTCTGATCGGAGAGGCCTGCCTTTAGCCAACCCCCACCAGAGTCATATTCCTGGGGTGGCAATTAGCCATTGGATCCCTAATTCGGGAGGAGAGCCTCGGCAAGGTGGATTGTGTTGTGGATGTCGTATTCGTGATATAGGTCTGTCAGGATTTGATGCTTATTTTATTTTATTTCAGTGGGGAGAGGGCCGTGAGTGAAACACGCCTGTGAATCCACGTGTCCGAGTGTGTGCCGACGGACTGAGGATGGATGACGGAGGCCGTCCATGCGAGCAGCGAACTGAGCTGGTCGGAGCTTCGTATCAGGATCTCGGCTTTGCTTGGCTCGGATGGCATTATCGTCATTAACTGACCTCGTTCAAGGATCACACGAACTGCGTCCTGCGGGAGGTTGGTGAATTCATTTCATTTCATTTCCCGCAGCAGGCGGCTGGACCTGCGGTCCCTTAATGTCTGCTAGATGTCAATGCGAATGGTCGGCTCTGGTGGAGAGCTGCCGCGTATGCAAGGCTGTGAAAACATCAATATCTCATATGTACCTATATATAGCTACATGCAGTAGGCTCAACATTTCCTGCGACTTGCTCCATCACCTCCACCCAATCCACCAAAAACGTCCGAGAACCAGAGTAGGCGGGACCTTTTGGAAACCGGAAATCACACCGTAGGCCAGTTGTTGTTCACATTGATGGTCCCGCCGTTGCTCGCCCGCGCGACCCCCCGATCCGCCAGGAAGACGCAGTACTTGGCCACGTCCGCCAGCTCGACGCCCGTCTCCCCGGGGACGTAGCCCGGGAGGAAGCCCTTCATCTGGCCCAGGACCTCCATGTTGACGCCCTCCCGGAACGCGTCCACCAGGTTGGTCTGGTCCATGCCGCCCAGCACCAGCGCGACGCTGTACACGCCCTTGTCCCCGTAGAAGCCGGCCGTGTTGCGGACCAGGCCGAGCAGCGCGTGCTTGCTCGCCGTGTACGCCACCCCGCTCGCGACGCCGTACACGCTGGCGTTGGATGCGATGTTGATGATGGTGCCCCCCGTGCCGGAGGCCAGCATGGCATTCACGGCAGATTTGGTGCACAGGAACTTTTTTCAAGACGGTCGATCAGCACATGATGGATGAGGGGGGATGGTTCACTCTAGGGACGGGATGCTACTCACTGCACCGGTGGCGTTGACACCTATTACACGGTCCCATACCGCCTTGGTCGTCGTGGCCACGGCGTCGAACTTGTCCATGATGCCCGCGTTGTTGATGAAGATGTCCAGGCCACCGAGCTTCTCGACGACGCCCTGGACAAAGGCCTCGACGGCAGCCTCGTCGGTGATGTCCGTCTGGGAGACGAGGACCCTGCCCTCGTGCGCCTTCCACTCCTCCTTGACCTGGTCGAGCCTCTCCTGGTTGACGTCGCAGATGGCGACCTTGCTGCCGGCATCGAGGAACGTCTGGGCGATCACCTTGCCGAGTCCCCCTGCGGCGCCGGTGATGGCAACCGTGATTTCCGAGAGTGGCTTGCTACCCGCCATGATGGAAGATGGGCTGAGATGGAATTGGAGGTTGACAAGTGACGGTCAGGGTCAAAGTACGAAGAAAAAGAGAACGTGATGTCCTGTCTGCAGAGCGGCAGAGAACGACGAGGGCAAAGCACCATACTTATACGCCTTCGCATCACGAGAGGGGGCCAGACACCGCCTCACCCCGGCAGTCATTCAACATGGGGAAATTGTCCGTACATGAATATTCGACCCGCAGAGGTGGCCTCCCCGCGCGCGCAGAAGCACTAATTTTCTTTCCGAAGTGCTGATAGTCGAGTTCGGCTTGTTGGCGATGCGAGGATCTCGCTTTCGTATTAGAAGCCGGAATGCGAACAAGAAACATGCACAAACGGGCTAGACAAGCCCAATCATATCAAAAAAATCCCGCGATTTGAGTCACAGATGTCTGGACCCCCTGGCATAGATAAACGGCGACTTTAATATTCAGGATCTAGCCCCCTTATGCAGATGGATCTACGGAAGCTCTATCTGACCATCCCCGTGCCGAAACATAGCTCCAGCAGAACGCACCAGAGCATAAAAGGCAGAGCAGCAACACTGCGTCCTTACAAGCTCACAAACCCAGAATGCCCGTCTCCATGTCCCAACTCGTTTTCGCAATCGGACACCAATGTCGGCCCAGCCGTCTTACAGGCCAGTGGTGGCGCCAATGGGGCCGAAGCGCACGTTCGACCAGGTAACGAACCTGATGGGAGATATCTAGTCAGCACCAACCCACTTCGGAGGGATCTGTAGTGTCAGGGTCTTGATCTTACGCATTGGGGTAGTTGGCGATGACCTCGTCCGGCACACCAGAGGTGGCAGGGCAGTCGCCTCGCTTCTTGCCGGGGGAGCTGGCGTCGGCATCCCTGGGCCAGACGCCATCGAGCCAGAGCATGTGGGCGTAGTGCTGTACAAGGTACGTTAGCAAAACGAATGGCTAAATCAAGGAGTTTTTTTTCTTGGTTCTCTCACATCGGCCCAGATGGACATGACGAGGACATGTGGCTTGGCCAGGGCGTTC